CGGATCTGGGCAGAGAGGGGCCGTGAAGGCTACTGGGATGTTGGGCATCACCCACCCCATACCCTGGCGGCCAAGAGTGCCTGGCATTCCTGGGGAGCAAGTCCCTCCCCTGACTGGGCAGGTTAGGGAGCCCTTCACGTGAGCAGCAGGAAATGACAGTGGCTGATGTAATGGGCTGGTGGCCCCAGGAAGATAGGGTTCATTTAAGCCCTGACTCACCCAGACTGGGTACCCAAGGTGCCAAAGGCTAGGAGGCGGGGGACATGCAGGAGCTTGGCATCACAGGTGAAATGGAGGCCTCCTGGACCATCTCTCAGCAGATCAGCATTGTTCTGGGGCTCAGGTTGCACCTGGCTTCGCTTTCATTTGCCTGCAGTGGAAACTCGAAGGGCAGCTCCTTTGAGAGTCTGTACCTGCCACGCTGTTTTGCCTAGACGGCGGCCACCTGGACCCCCTCACCCCACGCTGCAGGCCCCCCACCCTGTGCCAGCTCAGGGAAGGCCCGGGAAGACAGAAGGGGGCGGCGGGTTGGCTTCAAGGTAGGCGTTAGCAGACAGAGCCCAGGTAGGTCCCAGTCCCAGTGTCACCCCGCGCGATCCACACTACCTCTCCAAACCCTAGTTTCCTCATCTGCACACTGGCATAATAACAGCACCTGTTGCTTAGGGCAGTCATGAGGATTAAGTGAGTGATTAATACGCGGTGTCCCAGAAGTCTTAGTGCTGATTTAAGCTTTAATAACTTCAGAAATATGAATGCTAGATGCTTCACTTGTCTGTTTCACTATTTAAATTTCTTGTCTATTTGAATCAAAGTATTTTGAATTTCAATTTAACATTTAAAAAAATTAAACCTTCAAATGATGTTTGTAAGCCAGGGGCATTGAGAAGGCTGTCTCAGTGTTGGACTTTGGGCTGCTGGAAAATGATAAGCTACCTAAGAATTACCCAGTGGGGTGCCTGGTCCAGGGGTGCTCTGTACCTGCTGGCGGGGTGATGGCCAACTGGTTCCCTCGTCCTTTCAGGAGGAAGAGTGCCTCCACACCTCCCAAGAAGGGGAGGTGAGTAAAACGAGAGGGAAGCAAGGGAAGCCTGGCAGAACAGGGAGGGGCCAAGGGCCCTGGTGAGCCTGCATGGAGGAGGAGGCTGGCAGGAAGGCTGCCCCACTGTCCGAGGTGGCAGGCACCTGGGGAGGTGCTGCCTGGAACCGCATGCCTGTACTTGCCAGCCCTGGGTAAACAGCGAAAGGAGTCGGGCAGCAGGGGCCCCACACTGGGCAGGGAGGGGCACGGGGGATCTCAGCCAATCGGCTGGCCTCCCACTGCCCCATGAAAGGGCCATTCAGTTCAGGCCGTTCCTTTGGCAACGAGGAGACTCGCGGCCATGTGAGTGCCCGTCCTGTCCCTGTCTTGGGCAGCAGAGCTATAGCCAAGGCTGCGGCCCACTCTCCCGCCCAGGGTGCCTCCTGCAGCCTCCAGGGACAGCCACGCCAGGTAACTCGAGGGGCACCAACCCAAGCTGTCTGCCCACCTGCAAAGTGCTGGCACTGTCCTCAAGGGCGAAACTAGGGGTTGGGGGAGGAGACAGGCATGCTCCAGGCCTCAGCCGCAGTGGGGACCCTCTCCCCAGAGAGGAACTCTCTGCCAGATGCCAGCACTGACCAGACAGCTTCCAGGGGGCTGTTCGTGGTGGGGAGGCCTGTCAGTTGTCTGGCAGATTGAAGCAAACAGGACAGCAGTGTTTAGGAGCCCTCCCTCGAGTGGTGCAGCTCCACTTCCGACCCTGATACTGCCCAGGGCGACCTGTGGGCCATCCCAGGGCCATCTGTCCCTATCCGCTGTACCTGTTTGACCCCAGCACTTCTGCGTCAGCAGGGCCAGGAGAGGTTGCAAGCTTGGGGTGCTGCCTGCAGAATACCAATTCCCCCGAGCTCAAGTGTGGGGGGAGGGGTAGAGAGACCCGTGGGGAGGAAGCAGGAGTTCAGGCCCTTGTAGGGGTGGGGGGCACATCTGATTGGCTGCCGGGTGTCCCAGAGCCCAGCTCCTGAGACCTGGAGCCTCTGTGACTTTGAATTATTGATGGAGCTCTCCAAAGTGAAATAGAGCAGGACTGGTCCCACGCCCCCACCCTGAGCCTCTGCCCGTCTCCGCCCCTGGCCTCCTCAGCCTTCCTCCTCTTCCTCCTCTGGACCCCAGGAAGCTAAGCAGATGGGAGGGAAGCCTGTGGTTCCCCCAACCCTACACCTGGTCCTCCTCCCGTTCTCTTTTCCTAGAAAGGGGTAGAAGGTGTGCTGGCCGTGGGAACATGGCTGGTTGAGTGAGCCCCCAGCCAGGCCAGGCGGGAATAAGGATGGATGGTAATTTATAGGCCAGGCCTTTCTGACATCGGCCTGGACTGAAAATGGCTAGAGGTCTCTGGCAGAGCCTGGAAGTTATGTCCTGGGGCCTATATGAAAAGTGCCACCTGCTCACCTCCCGCCTCTGCAACCTATCCCATACCCTACATGGACTGAGTATCTACAGCTCTCTACCAGGAACTCAGCACCTGGGGCTTGGCACCAAGTCCCCTCTGCCCTAGTGAGCTAGGCTGCGGCCTAGGGCAGGCGGTAGGCTGCCTGAGCCACTGACTGCCAAACAGCCAGATTCTGCCCACGACCCACTCATCTCACTAGGAGCTGCGGGGAGAACCCCGATGACCGGGGCTGTGGTCAGAGGCTGGCCCGGCCAGGAGACAGCCAGCCCCGACATTATTATAGGCCTACAAAGGGAGGAGCCGGGCTGCCTGGCAGGGCTAGGAGAGGAGATAATAACCACTGTCTTTGTTGAGAGCTTTCACATGTTATTATCTCATTTATTCCTCACAACAACCCTGTGAGGTAGGAATCATGATGATTACTATACTGATTTTGCAGGTGAGGAAATTGGGGCTCAGAGAGGTTCAATGACTAGGGCAGAATCACCCAGCTAGTCAGCCACGGGGCAGGACCCTTCTGAGAGGCCTGGGCGGCTCTGCACTCCCACCACCCCAGGAGCCCCCAAGAGCCCCTGCTGACCCTCAAGGAGAGTAAGAGATCTTACCTACTCCTCCTTTGCCCTCCAGCTCCATTGAGATAAAGCCTGCAGGTTTACGGAGATGGAGGGACTCTGGGGGTCCCCACGTGAGCCTAAATTTGATGGGGGTGGTGAGTCAAGGTAAAGTGGGAAGGGCACTGGGCTGGAAATCTGAGAGACATGGACACCAGTCCTGGCTCTGCTAGCATGTGACCCTGGGCAAGTCAGTGGCACTTTTCCACTTGTACAACGGAGAACATAAGATAGATGACCCTCCATCGAGTGGACACTCTCATATGCCCCTGGGGCGGGGGGGTGGGGTGGATGTCCTAACCAGTCTTAATTGGCTAGAGCATGCACTTGGACACAGCTGACTCCAAGTTCCTGAAAAACAGCTCGGGCAAACATCTTACTGTTTAGTCTGAGTAACAGTTGGAGGATGTTGCTACAAGTCCTTTGTAGCAACAGTTAAAGCGAGCTTGACAATGAGGGTAGGTGACAGGTGCAGTGCATCTAACTGATAATCACCCTTGTTTCAGCAGCGGGGAAATCTGGGCTAGATTCCCAAACCTGATGTCCCCGTGGTGAGACCTGGCTCTAGCTGTTTCGCATCGATCAGCTTTGGTGTCCTCTATGTTAAGTGTGGTCGTGGCTGTCCACTCCCTAGGCCTGCGGGAAGGTTCAATTGGATGATGAATGTGGAAATGTCCTCTTTCACTTGTGGTAAAATATATTTGATGTGAAAGTTAAGGAAAAAAAAAAAAAAAAAAAACGTCGACCCGTTCGGGCTTTGAAAACTCAATTCAGAGGTTCTGTGTTCCTTCAGCAGATCCACCCCAGCGGCAAGGACGGCAGGTGGAGACAGGAGCTCTGCCTGCAGTGCAGGATTTTAGCCTCTAGGGGGCCCACTTTGCACGAGTCATTATCACCATCAGTTTGCTGTGGGTACTGATAGGGGGAGCCCTGGGAGGCCACAGGGCCCTAACTCCACTTAGAACTGAAGGCTTAGGTCAATGAAGAGGGTGGGGTCTACCACACAAGGATCCCCCACCGCAGCAGGTGGCCATGTCCAGGGAAGTACTCTGCGATTGGGTCTGGAGACTGAGGTCAAGCATTCCTCTCAGCCACTCATCACCACCACCACCCACATCTAAGCCCCTTTCCTCCTCTCATGGGCCTTCCTGTTCCTCATCAGGGATGTGGCTAAATGATCCTCAGGTCATGCTGTCTGAACAGTGTAAGATTCCCAAAAGATTGCTTCCAAAGAGGGGAGCAGTCTGAACTCTTGGAATGTCCAGCAGTTTTTAACCCAGGGGGTAAGGGCGGTGGCATCCCTCATCTCGGGGGTGCCTGCAGAAAGAAACCAAGGAGAGGAAGCAGATGGGATTTGGGATGGAATACTACTGGGGGCTTTTTTGTTTTTGTTTATTCAGCTGCACTGGGTGTTAGTTGGGGCACGTGGGATCTAGTCCCCTGACCAGAGATCGAACCTGGGGCCCTTGCATTGGGAGTGCAGAGTCCTAGCCACTGCACCACCAGGGAAGTCCCTGGAATACTATTTGTTGCTTGAAGGGCTGCAGAGGTGGGGCAGTCCCTGCTCTCAGGCTGGGGGCTTTGAGGGGAGCATCCAATCCAAGAAGTGCTGAGACTGATTGCCCGTGTAGTTTATGAAAGCCTGCTCAGCTCTGGGGCTCTCCCTGAGGTGTGAATGCCTGGGTGCAAGGAGACCTGCATGCCGGTGCGCACGCACATGCAGACGTGTGTCCCAGAGGTGGGCCAGTGGCTTTCCTGGAAACAGACAAGTGTGGTCCCTGGTTGAGGTCAAGCCACTGGGGGATGGAGAGCAGGCACAATGGGAGCAGCCTGACCCCCGGCAGGGCCTTCTGACAACTGCTTTCCTTGTCTTTCAGCCCATGAGGCTCCCAGTCCCCACTGAGTGCCGCCCTGAAGGATGTCCCAGCTCTCCTCCACCCTGAAGCGCTACACAGAATCGGCCCGTTATACAGATGCACCTTTCACCAAATCGAGCTATGGCACCTACACTCCCTCTTCCTACGGAGCCAACCTGGCTGCCTCCTTCCTGGAGAAGGAGAAGCTTGGTTTCAAGCCCAGCCCCCCCACCAGCTATCTCACCCGTCCCCGTACCTATGGCCCCCACTCCATCCTGGACTATGACCGAGGCCGCCCCTTGCTGAGACCCGACGTCATCGGGGGTGGTAAGCGGGCGGAGAGCCAGACTCGGGGCACTGAGCGGCCTTCAGGGAGTGGCCTCAGTGGGGGCAGCGGATTCCCTTATGGAGTGACCACCAGCTCCCTCAGCTACCTGCCTGTCAGTGCCCGTGACCAGGGGGTGACCCTGACCCAGAAGAAGTCAAACAGTCAATCAGACCTGGCCCGGGATTTCTCCAGCCTCCGGACCTCAGATAGCTACCGGCTGGACTCTGGGAACCTGGGCCGCAGCCCCATGCTGGCCCGCACGCGCAAGGAGCTGTGCGCCCTGCAGGGCCTGTACCAGGCAGCCAGCCGCTCCGAGTACCTGGCCGACTACCTGGAGAACTATGGTCGCAAGGCCAGCGCACCTCAGGTGCCCACCCCGACCCCTCCCTCACGAGCCCCTGAAGTCCTCAGCCCCACCTACCGACCCAGTGGCCGTTACAGTCTGTGGGAGAAGGGCAAGGGCCAGGCCCTTGTGTCCAGCCGCTCCAGCTCCCCAGGGCGAGACACCATGGTGAGTTTGCCCCTTGGGGACCTGGTGATGGGCTGGGGAGGAAGCCACTGATGAGGAAAGGGCTTCCACCTTGACCAACGATCACAGGCAGAGGTTTTCCTTCTCAGGCCTCACAGTGGCTGTTGCTATAGCCCAGGTGGGGACGAACCAGGGAAGTCATCTCAGCACACCTGGTGCCCTCGTGGCTTGATGTCTTTGCTCAGGGGCTCTTGCACTCTCCCCAGGAAATGCACTTCACGACCCGTGCCCTCGATGATGGCCCTGCAGTGCTCTTGGAAATGCCCAGCTACCCTCACACACACCGCGACTTTTATCCTCTGCTTTCCCACCCAACATGCCTGGGGCCCCTGCAGACCCTGCCCCATCCTGGACTGCATGCTGAGACCCCCAGACCACCAGTGTGCCCTGTGGTAAGAAAGGCCCCCCCGGCCCTGACTGCATCTCCCCTCCTGCTCAGGCTTTTACCTCTCAGTCCAGAGACATGGCTTAACGTTGAGACGTAAGACATCAGAAGAAGAGGGTCTCTCCTCTGGTGGACGCAGCCTGGCTCTGGACCAGGGGTCTAGACAGGAGTAGTTCTCGTGTATCTTTGGAGAAAATGGTGCAGAACTTCTTGTCTAGGGCTTTAGATGATCCAGTCTTTCTACTCCAATGTGCCTGGGTTCAAATAAGGAAGAGGCTCTGCTGGAGACTTGAGTGAGGGCTGGCATGACCCATCCACATCTGATCCCTGGCACACCTCTCCTGGGCACTGACTACAATTCTTCCTCTTGTATAGTCATCAATTTACCCATTAGGTGGTGAGCTTTCAGAGGATGAGAAAGAAATCAAATCTCCAGACCCCTCACTATGTACCTAGCTCAGTGTAGAATTCAGCTGACCTGCGAATCACATGGATGATTGGATGGATGGATGGATGGATGGGGCAGTGAATAGATACATGGAGGAATGAATGGATAGATGGGGGAGTGAGTGGGTAGGTGGATGGATGGATATGAGTGGGTATGCAGAAGGACAGGCAAGCATATGGGCAGGAGAACTGGGTGTTGTGTCATCTTTATTACTTTATGTGCCCTTCGACTCTTAAGACACATGTCTTTTAGAAACAATAGTTGTGCCACAGCAAGAAATGCTGCTTAGGGGACTTGTCCAGAAAAACGGAGCAGGGGTACAGGATGGGGGTAAGGCTTTGGGACACAGACCTTGTCATAACTAAAGGTCCCGAGAGGACAACTTGATACCACTGCTTAGAGTCTCAGCCTTGCTGGACCCCCTGTAAAGTGCCATGGGAGATGCAAAAGCTGGTGCCTCCCAGAACATTCAGACCCTAAGAAGGCAGGGCTGGCTACGTTGGAGGGCTAGAGTGGACGATGAAAGGCAAACGACAGACCTGGCCTCGGAGAGAAAGACATGCTCTCAGGGGACATGTACTTGGGTTGAAGTGTGATTGGCTGGAACAGGTCTGGTGTTGCTCATCTCAGGGGCAATCAATCAGAAAGCGACTCTCAATGGAGGGGCTTGGGTGTTAGAGGCCTCTGAGGGGCTCCCTCCCTTTGTTCAGAAAGACTCTTTATGGGGCTCAGTGTTCCTAAAAAGTGGGGTCTGCAAACTGACTAGCTCAGAATCATCTGTGCGCTGAATTGTCTGCGGGCCCCATCCAGACCCCCTGGAGCCAAACTCTTTAGGGATATAGGGCCTGAGACTCTGCCCTTTTTCACAAGCTTTTCAGGTAATCTTCAAGCACACTGAGGTGTGAAAACCTCTCCTCCACAGGCTAAACTACAGAGCCATTCTCAGCCCCAATCCGCGGAGAGCAGGGCCTCCTCCTTCCTACACAGGCAGATCCCAAACCTCCTTGGAGTCTCCACAGCAGACACCCTGGCCCCAACCTCCTACCCCAGGGCCAGCCTGAGGGGAGTTTTGCAAGAGGACCTCAGAGCAGTGGGCAGGTGGACCCAGGGCAAACTCAGCCACTGTAACATCCGTTTTTCCCTGTCCAGAAACAACCCACAACACACAGGAGTAACCAGCAGCCCTACAACTGAGCTAGTGTTTCACTCTGAGCTCTTCCTCAAGAAAAAGGTCGTCTGAGTTTTTCTGTAACAGAAAAACCCGAACGAATTTCCTGGTCAGCGCAATACTACCAACTGGGAGAGACCCCTCCTGGGCTCAGTGGTGTGAGGCTTTGATTTGATCTCACTCCTCTCCCTCACTGCCCTCACCCTCGCTTCTGGTGCTGATCACATCTTGCTGGGGTGAGAATGACCCTGTTTGTGGGGCCTGGACCACTTCTTTCTATAACCAGGTCCAGTTTCTTTTCTGACCACAATCCACGGCTCTTCCCGTCTCATTCATTCATTTTATGGTGTTCAGCTTACTAGCAGCATAACCTTAGAGAAATGCGTGAACTTCTGAACCTGTTTGCTCTGTAAAACCAGAGCGGTCATAGTTCCCACTTCAGAGATCCTGGTGTGGAATCAAAGGTTGTGGTGTGAAAGGGCTTGGCACTTAGTAGGTGCTTGATCAATATCAGTCCTCCCTTCTGCCTTCCAGGTGCTTGGGGGGGGGGGGGCACGGAGCAGGAGAGTTGTGAGTCGTGGTCCCTGCCCTCGGGGAAGCTTGGGAAATAAGTTCTGAAAACAGTTGCAACAGGAGGCTGCCCTAGGTGTTCTTCCAGTGTCATAGGTGATGGGAAAGGGAGAGGTCATTCGAGGCTGGGATGAACAGTTTGGCGGCTGGAAGAACACTTTGCCTTTTTAACCTTGGATACCTCTCATCTGAACTGCTGCCTCACCCATAAAAGGGAATGGTCATGCCTGCCCTGCCCACTTCCCAGGGTTGTCATGAGGTTCAAAGCAAATCATGGATGTGGAGGAGTCTGCAACCAGTAAAATGCAATGGGAGAGCTGGCTTAAACTCAAGGGGGAAAAGGTGCTGCTGGAAAAGAAGCGGCCTTTGGCAGCTGACTGGAGTGGAGGGAGGGGACCGCCGCTGGGAGGAACAAAGGTGAGAAAGTGCATCCTAGGGCAGGGCCCCAGGTGAGATCCGACTCCTCTAAGGCAGCCCTGGCCCCCTGGGCTCTCTAGGCAGCTGACCTGAACTACAGGTCAAAAGAAGCAGGACCAACTGCGGAGTAGAACAGATCTAACCAGATTCAATCCTCCTGTTAATAGTAACAGCCCACATGAACTTGGAATATCACAGACTCAGCTGAGCACGAGTGAAGAACTGGTGGAGGGGGACAAGAATTCTGAACACCTCCCGTCCGTGGCTGGCTTGCTTAAGCACTGACAAGACGGCAGTCCACAGAGTGTGCGCTGTCAGCCTAGGGCAGTGAGGGCTGCCCTAGACTCCCCCTTCAGATAGATCGCAGGAGAGTTGTATGTTGGTTCAGAACTGGGTTTTTTGGGGTTTTTTTAACTTTCACTACCCACAGTGGGGACTTCAAGCCAGGCCAGGTGGGTTGGCCCTGCAGAGAGCCAGGGGTCCACGCCCCCAACTTGGTCACATCCCCCCTCCACCCCACCTCTCTTGTTCCCCTGGGCCTATGGAAGGACAAGCTGTTCCCAATGAGCCCTGCCCGGGCTGTGCTTTAACCCCTACAATCCACGCTAATCCTCCACTCCACCCACTCCAGCTGCTCTCTCCCCTGAGCCCTGGCAGTTCTGCCCGCAAGCTTCAGCCCTGCGCTCACCCTGCCCAGGGCACCGTCTCCTCTCCCTCAGAAGAGCTGGGAGCTGGCCCAGGGCCCTCCAGAGCACAAGCCATGGGCTGGGCACCTGCTACTCAGATGCGGAGCCCGGCCCAACCTCTTGCCCTCACACGGCCTTTCCCACACCCTTGCCCTCTGCTCTGGGACCTGTTGCTAGGAGAAGTCGGCCTGGGCACCTGGACTACCTAGATCCTATTTGCCACTGGGGGGGCTGCTGACTCATCTCACAAAGCCTCGGGTTCCAGCTGTTCAGTGACAGGGAGATTATATAAGATGAGGTCATGTGATTTTCCTCTCAGGTGGGACTTTGGACTTGACTGCTGTCAAGCAGTGGGGGGAAGGGAGGAGTTTTAGTCTGAAGCGGAGGACAGCGGCGGCTGTCCTCCAGCTCCTGGGTGAGAAGTGTGACCTTTCCCTCTGTCCCCGGCCTTCTCACTGTTTACTCAGCCACGCTGAACTGCATCCCTGCTGTCCTGTTTGTCCAGCTTGGCAGCCGGAGACCCTGCGGCTTGTCCTCACCCACTTGGCCACCTGGAGGAGGGCTGTGCTCACAGCCTAGGAAGGTCACACAGAGGGGTCCCATGGCTGGACTGATCCTAGCTGCTGAGGAAGAAAGGGCAGTCGGTTTGTAGTCTGTGGTCAGAATCAGCAAGATGCCAATGTCTCAGGCCTTGAAGACCGGCTGTGGGCTGTGACCTGGCTGGTGACCTTGGAGCCGCCTTATCCAGGCTCATTTTCTCAACCAGTGCCCAGCACCATGCTCCCTGCTTCCTCCTCCACCCCCACTCTGGGATGGATGTCTCTGTGAGTGAGGTCAAGTGGCATGGGGGTGGGCTCAGCAAGGCAGGAGTTCATCCGAGCCTGGCAAAATGTTCCCGGCCTGTGGGAGAGCCGCTCCACTGACCATCCTGCTGCAGAAATGAACATCACGTTCAGGGCTCAGAGCTGCACACGTTCCCTGCACCCTCTCACCTCAGTGGAAATGTAAAACTGGCACCCCACACAAAGACATAAATGGGAGAGGGAAGTGTGTGGGCCTCTGGAATCCAGCTGGTCCAGACCAGACTGCCCAGGGGCTCCAAGAAGCACAGAGCTTTAGGCCTCCTGGGGTCTGAGTGATGCAGGAAGGAGGAGCTTCCCAGGGACCTCGGTCCAGCTGGCTGGCCCTCCCTCCCCAAGGGCGCTGGAAGGCTGAGAGCCGAACCCCTAACAAGGACCCTGAGCCCCCACCAGTTCAGTCAGACCGCCAGTCTGTCCCGTCTTGCGTGGGTAATTGCAGGTGTGTGCC